GACACTGCGCAGGACACCGGACACATGACACATCAGGACACTGCGCAGGACACTGCACATGACACAGGACACTGCGCAGGACATCGCGCAGGACACCGCACAGGACACAGGACAATTTTTTTCTGTGCATGCCTGACCGAAAGTCACGTAAGAATAGCCTGCCTGCAATGGATTACAGTCACGTAAGAGTAGCCACAGTCTATTGAAATAGATATGAGAAATATCTATGAACTACAACATATTTTTTCAAGTCTTTTTAATATCATTTAAAAATGATAGTTAATTCAGGCCTTTTTAATATTACAAAAATGATAGAGAAATTGTGGGAAGAAAGAGCATTTCTTTGTATCCAACCGGTATAAAATACCTGGGCCAACAACAATCTTGTAAACTTAATACTAACGTTAGGATCTGACCTGGCAGCCTTAGTAACCAGCTTTGAAATGCAGTCACGTCCTCTTTGTTAGTCGTTCATAAGAAAAGTTAGGTTTGTAATAAAATTGGGCGGTGTGGAGAAATACACGGATAACTATACATTATAATTATGATTTATTTGATATAAAGCCTCAGCTTCTATGACTAGGGCTAGTCTAGCCTAGCTACGTTAGCATTTCGCTGGTGGACAAATAGTTACAGTAGCTCTCAACATAATGTTACAATCCACAAATACATCCAAAATCTATCGTTAAATCTTACCTGCGAAAGGTAATTCCACAGGATCTGGTATCGATATCTCGGTCAGCATCCATATGCAGCGCAAAAAAATCTGGCATCTTCGGTGTAGATTTAAGTTTAAGCGCTCGACCGTTCTGAATACGAAGTTGTATTTTGGTAGTAAAACCGGCATTTTAGAGTATCAGGGCATCCTGGATCATAGCTAAATGTGTTACGTTTATAACAAATCAAACCGCTTGGAAATCAGTCGAAAATTCAGCGAGTAATGATTTGTAGAAATTGTTTGATGCTTCAAACCCTGAGTTATTAACATCGGGGGTATTCCAGAAAGCAGGTTTAATAAACACGGAGAGAAAGTCTGAACTGGCGTTTGGTTGAACCCGCGACTTGTAAACCCGAGCTGTCGGTTCCAAGACACCGGTTATGAATTAGTTCAATCAACTCCGTGTTGGTTAACCAAGACTGGTGCGCGTTCACTGCGAACATATAAGGACATCATCAATTGAGTGTCGAAATCCTTTGAGGAAATGATGAAACGCAGAGCCCCGTATTTTTGTGAGCCAGAATTACAAGTCCTCCTCGAGGCTTACGAGGAAGAACGAGTAATAATCGCAAATGAAAGCAATACCAGCGCGTCCGCCACTGCACGCGAGCAAGAGGGTTGCGGACCGCGTAAATGCGTAAGTTTAAGGCTATTAATAGGGCTAATGAAAAGCACAAAATTGCAGCCTACCCTCGGCAAGATCTAATTCAGTGACTATTATTGCCTACTACGGGCTTCTTTAGTAGGCCTATGTTTTTTTCCCTGCAATTGGATAAAAAATATTATTCTCAGTTAGATGTAACCGGGCCACCCCAAAAAGGACGTGGCTGCAAGTGAAAACTAAATATAAAAATATCGTCCAAACAGGTAAAAGTTTCCTCCTGGCATCACTTCTCTATACTATATTATAGGCATATTGCTATAATCCCCATCTTTTTGTTCGTCTCTTTGAACGAAGTTGCCTAAGAATCTTTTAAGCGCAAGGCACACTTTACGCACCGAGCGACACATGGTGGCCTTTCCGATGTGCTCTGCGTCTCCGACTGTATACAAAAAACTCCCTGAAGCAAAGTAAGGGCAATGCATAATGTTTGGATGGATGTCAAAGCAAACCCCCGATGTGTGGTGTTTGAAATGTATGGATGCAGCAGGTTGTTCAAATATATGAGCGACTCCGCTGAGAAGCGGTAGCGCTCCCGCAGATAATCATCAGGATATGACAATACATCGTGCCGCGGTGGTATCACCCTCTCACGGTGAATTGCACGGACAATTTGAGCTTCGATGTCTATGGGACCTTCTTCAAAAGGAAACGCCATTGTGTGACAGTCACAGAAGTCAAAGGAGCAGCTTTGCTGAACGTGCTCTTAAATCGCCGAACATAACCTGAACTTCACCTGAACAAAACCTAGGTTATCCACATAAAATGAACTAAACCTGAATAAAACCTACCCCAACTAGG